TTTGGTTATATTGGTTTTTGTGCTTGTTATTATTTCTGTATCATGATTTTGTTTACACGCCAAATGCGCACGTACCGCGCATCGCACTTTTTACTATGATTATTATTATTATTTTTTCCCAACTCGTTTTTTTTTGTTTTGTGTTCCTTTTGCTGCTCACCTGTTTTGTTTTTTGTTTTTGTTTCTGTCGCTTTTCTATTAGCCTGAAACGTCGCTTGACCACGTACGACATGCACCGAAGCCAATCCACCCGCACACCTCGCTCGCACCTCTTTTCGATTTTGAAACACGTAGAGCGGCAGCAAATTTCCCATTTCCCATTAAAAGCGCAAAAGGCCAATGCATAAATGATTGATCCCCAACCCGCCGCCAATATACCTGCCCAGGTCGTCGGGGGGTCGGAAGTAATGCGCTTTCGTTGAGCCCACTGCGAGAGGCTTGTGCAATTCATTCGCTTACTCACTCACACACTCATTGATTCACACTCATTCATTCATGCCACTATCAATGGCTATTGTAGTTTATTATCGACAGCGTCGGCGTCACAGCGTGCGCTCATAAAAACAACGCCTGTCATCAGGCCCAGGTCTCTATCTGTATCTGTATCTGTATCTCTGACTGTCTTTGGAAGTGTGACTGGATCTTTATACTGGGTTCGGGTCGCGTATCCGTGACACACCTTGGCTTAAGTTATATTTATGGCGAATGACTTCGATTAACCAAATTGACTAACAGTTTTGCGGCTCGTTGGCCCTCACATCCGAGTGCTGGCGGGCCGCCAATTTCCTTGAATTCAAAAGAACCCACTTAGCAATCAGTTTGTATTATTCATACGATATATTTGTCGCAAGCAGCTGAGTATATCCTTTGAATGTTACTTACCGAATAAACTACAAGTTTCTGTAAGTGACTTTATCATGGTTACGCTTTAACTGTTCGTGAATTATAAGTGAAAATTGAGTTGCTTTTGATGTGTGTGGTTTTATTAGAATAATAGAACTTATGTTACTAATGCGCTGCGCCTAAACTTATTTTGGCAAGTTAGTTTTAAAAAATAAAAAGCAATTAATAAATACCTGTTACTTAAGTCTAGGTGGTCGTTATTTATTTGCCTGAGACCCTTAACCATTATGTGTCAACTGTTCTGTTAGGCTAAGTTAGGGGTTCTCTACAGAAGTTATAGAGTTTCTCTACATATCGCACATCTGTTTTTACAAGCAGACAAGCTTAATCAGCCGTTCGTTAAAACAATTTGGGAATTCTAAACGAAAGCAATTTGATTGGACTTGTGTTGTGTTTTGTGTGAATCGTTAAATCTTTAATTGTTGCTGTTATTAAAATGATCAAGTTAATTTAATTTTTTTCCTCTCTCCCACTCTCTCCCTATTTCTCTCCCTCTCTCTCTTTCTCCTTTTCTCTCTCTATCTCTTCCCTCTTCTTTGCATAAATTCAAAATTGTTCAGCAGACTTTTTTTCGCGCTTATAAAAAATGTATCAAGCGTCGCTGTTGCAGACACACAGTTTCCGCTCGTTAGTTGCCCATTTGTCCACGTTCTCTCCACTTTGTTCCATGCCTTAGCTAATAAAACTTGTACATATTTTAATTGATATTGTTTTCATGTATGTTGCTGCAGTTGTTGCTGCTGTTGTTGGCCATTGGCTCTGACCGTGCCTGTGTAGTTGTAGGCTCCCTGGCCCGATACGTTATATGAATTTCAATGTGCTTTTGTGTGGGCTTTCTTCGAAAACCCTCGACACTGGGTGACGGCAATGGCGCTACGTAACAGAAAAGGCGGCGTAACATTAACGTAACCAACTGACGCAGACGCGTTGCAACAACGTGACAACTTTTGTGAATATGACGCACTTTGTGACCAACTGGTTGCATTGACATTTCTCTTCTTCACGTTGCCGCTGCTGTTGTCGTTTTTTGCCTTGTTCTCGCACAGCTGGGTATCGAGTTGTTTTTTTTTCTTCTTTTTACACTTAGTTGCACTTGCAATGCTGCGGGGGTTCCACAGTTATATAAGAAATACCTTTAGATCGGGCAAAGAAATAAAATCTAAAGCAGTTTGTGGCATGTGCTGACAAGGTGGCAAGTTGATTGAGGTGGACAAAAGAAACCAATTAAACTAATTCCAAGTTAGGACAAACAACGGCATATCAAGCCATAATCGTTGAACTCTGCTCAACGTTAGTTAAATATCTTATTCAGCATATTTACTCATGTCAATTTCCACATGCAACGAATTGTTAATCTCTTTTTCCATAAATCTATTTATGGTATGTGTTTTTTAATTTTCTTGGAAAAGTTTTGGCTGTCTTAGAATGGATTATTTATAGCTAGATGCTCAGCAAAGTTTCCCAAATTTCCATGTCATAAGCGGAAGAGATTAGTCATAGCAATTTGTTGTATGTTGAGCAATTTTTCCATTTTTCCATTTTTCAATTTCTATTTTTCAGTTTTAATTAATTTTTACAAGTGTTTGTGTTGAAAACACAATTATTTTGATTTATACAAGTTATTTCATAAAAGTAATTTGAAGACTGTTTCAATTTGAGAATATTAAGATAACTTGATCAAACTCAGAGTGTCATATATTTTCACAAACTTTCATTCAAAAATGCGGTTTAAGTTAACAACCTCATCAAAAGTTCTTTAAAGTCTGTACTTTATAGCCCATTTCTTTTTATGCAATATGCCAGTTACCCGCATATTTGTATATCTTAATAATAATTAGTTTTTAAGTATATGATTCAAAGTTAATTAGTAATTAAGTCATTAGTTGAATGTCGCCGACGAGTTCTTCAACTTGTTTTCTTCATTTCATTTCTTCATTTCCAATTGCCACTTGCTTTGGCTTAAAGTAGTAGTTTGACGAGTCGTATAGCTACACCTACTCACCCTTTAGACCTGGCATTATCTCACTTAGTTTTATATGCATCACACGATCTATTGGGCAGCAGCACCATTCATCAATCGATTCAACAATAAATTGAACTAATCGCCACACATCACGTTCACGGCTCATAGCAATGAAATCTTAACTTGTTAACGATTCTTTGGCATGAAAATTTTTTTTGTCAATCGATTTTTGAAGCTGTTCACTGATTCCAGAAAAACAACAGCGACAAATATCTAAAGAATTTTGTTATTTTTTGATACCCTTAAGCCATTAAGCGTGGGTAAAAAGGGGTACTGTGCTTGGGCAATAGTATGTAATAGCCAGAGGGAGGCATATTCGACTGCATTTATTCAACAATAGGAGCTAGAGACTGGAAATTTTTAATCTTGTAACAAATATCCATGTTTGGATTTAATTTTGAATAGTTAGCAACACCCTGTTTCTGTTGTGCACAGGATATCTTTCGGGCGAGTACTGCCGATTAGAGAACTGTTATTTGATTTTTTTTTGCTAGTTTGTTGTTTTTCACATGTTTTCAGCAAATTGCGTGTGTGGGCGGCCGGCCGGTCTCTGTGGGAGGCGTGGCAGTGTGTGACAATTTTCTCATATATCCGAAATGAAAGAGAAAATTTAATTTGCAGGTCACGTAATTTGCTGGTGTGTGTGTCTCTATGTGCGTGCGTGTGTAGCACGCCCGAACCACCCCACGCAGTGTTGGTAAATAAATTTGCCCGGTTGTCTTTGCTGTGTGTATCTTCTCTCTATATGTGTGTGTGTGTGTGTGCGTGAATTACATGTAAAAATATGCAAATCCAGTCTACACATATGGCCAGCGAGCTATTTTGTCGTCGCTGTCGCACACTTTACAGTTATGAGTGTTTATTTGTTTGCGGGCCATGGCCCAAAAATAAAAAAACAAAAACAAGTGGAGGAAGAGGTAGAAAAATATATATGCCCATCGATTGTGAACAGAGTCGAAGAGGCCTGAAACTGAAACCTCGAAACTTCAGGCTTGCCTTCAAATACCCTGTAGTACTGCTCAGTAAAAGGGCTATATTGTGTATGCAGAAGATAAGCAACTGACAATTCATTTGTTCTTCTGGTAATTAGATTAGAATAAGATTAAAGAATAGGTAATTTTCGTGGTCCTATCAAAGTATTTTGTAACAAAGCTAATTTAGTTCATCTTTCACATAAGGAACCTGTAGATCTCTGTGTATGCATCATAAGAAACGTAAAAAGAAGCATTAAGTATGGATCGCATTGATTTTGATTTGAAGCGCTGAAGAATTTAAATATACGAGTCGCTAGCTGTAGTCCACAGTTGTGTAGCTTATGTCCAGACAGGCTCTGATATGGCTTTGTAGAGGCTAACATTGTTTTCCCTGCTAGATATTCAATCTTAGCCCTTTCTTAGCTTAGCCCTTCCTTTGTGTTCTATGTGAGTTGGTGTCTTGGTGCTGCTTTTTAATATAATTACTCAATAAATTGAAGCGAACTAGCTTCTACTATATACTAAGGAAAGCCGCTTGCTTTAACTCCTATACTTAAGTAACCTACACGAAAATTGATAAGAAATCTTTTTTATCTAAATAACGGCTGCCGGGTTAGCTCTCCTCTAAAGTTTAGCCATTAAAATTAGCTGCCAAATATCATGTCAGGCACAAGCGTAAACTCCAAGTCGAGCAGTCCGAGAAGTTAGGCGTTCCAGCTGTTTTTTTTTTATTCGTTTTTTCTTGTTGGAAGTCCTTTTTTGTGTGGCATACTTTTTGGCTTATTAATGTAACGTTAAACTTTGCTGTTGTTGCTTTTGGCATCTCTCATTTGTTGTTGTTGTTTCTTTTTTGTTGTTTCGGGCTGTTGCTGTGACTGTTGCTTTTATCATTAACTTTATGCAAAAAGTTTTTTATGCCAGCATCATTTGCCGATGCGCCTACATTAAGCCAACAAATAGTTTGGCTCACAACTGGCAGCCATTTTCAGTTTTTGGCACACTTCCCTAATGCATCTGTCTGTACGAAATACTCCAACAGACATCGCCCTCCCCTCCCAACACTTATTGCCATTTTACTTACCACGTTTCCATCTTTACAGTACAATTACCTCATGCAGTTTGATTATCTGCCCAAGTCGGATCTGGAAACGGGCGCTCTGCGCTCCGAGGAGCAGCTGATAGATGCAATACGTAATCTTCAGGTAGGTAGCTGCCAAGCAGATGCTGCTAGGCAACATTGCTCCGACTGCTGCTATATGCAACTGCTGCTGCTGCTGCTGCTGCTGCTGCTGCTGCTACTTGCCACTGTCGCATGTATTATGCACACAATTTCACATACTAACATTTTCGTCCATTTTACAGAAATTTGGCAACATTCCAGTTACGGGCCAAATCGACCCAGCTACGGCCAAGCTAATACAAAAGCCCCGCTGCGGCGTGGGCGACAATAAGTATGCGTATAATTTCTCACCGGATAATCTGGATCATGGCAATAGTCGTGGCGCACGTAAACGTCGCTATGTTCTCCAGGGCGCAAAATGGGATAAAACGGATCTAACATGGAGGTGAGTACTAAGCAATCAAACAATACACCTATTGTACATAAGCACTAAGTATGCCCAAGCGGAAAAAGCTTTTCAATTAAATTATATTGGTCAGGCATTTGTTGCCTTATGCGGCATTTGTGTCGTTAGCTTATTAGTTTGCTGTTGGAGTTGAGCAGGCGACCTCTCGCTTGTTAGTTCGATGCTCAGACCAAACTCTTAAAAAATCTAACAAATATTCAAAATGGATTGCAAAAATGAAACTCTGACTTTTTAAGTAAAACAAGGTGCTCTAATCGTTTTAGTTACTTCTACAAACCTCAATGCCTCAGATCGTCCTATAAAATGAAAGATACTCCATCAGTTTATAATATTCAAGAAGCTACAAGTCGTATTTGTTGATTCTAGCCTAAAACTTAAGAGATTTGCTTTTAAAACAAGATATCAATACCGATTTGTATCGATTGCTGGAAACATTGCAAGTTATCGATTATACGAAATAAGCTCGTAATGCGCGGGCCTTAAGAGAATTTAGGTTTAAAGTCTCTAAATTGATTTAGATCAACATTTTAATAGCTGAAAGATGTTAAACACAAAGCATGTTTAATAAGCCAAATCACAGCTATATTTGCTATATTTCAAACATTTTTAACTTAATTGAAAACGCATCGATTTTCCGCCTGCCAGGCTTAGCTTATAATGATATGCTGTTCTCTACGGACTAGCGAAGGCTGGTGTTTCAATGGGTACAACCCAAATATAGTTTCCTTGCATATTTTTGCTTATTTAAAATTTAAAAACTTCAGCTTGAGTTGGCGCGCAATTCTCTTTTATTTTTATTTTTTTTTTTGGTTGTTTTCCAATCTCACCAACTGATGCATTTTGTTTAGTTTAAAATTGATTTTCATTATGCATTTTCCCACACAGTTGCCCAAACTCTTGCTGCGCTAGCGCCCCCGCCACCCTTTGGATGCGCATTTCAATTAAACTGCATTCAGTTCATTAATTTTGCAGCGCTCATTTAGACGCGAATTTATAATTTTATAAGGCAAGGGCCAGGGCCAGGGCCAAACTCACGCTCAGCTCCAAGCAGCTGAATGAGCTGCTGCTGCAATCTGCGTTAACCGCCCCCTTGCAGCCTCGCTCTGCCGGAATGTCCTGTGCATACGCGCTTTCAATTAATTCAAAACTCAAACGTAGCGTAGCTTGTTAATTTTTATTACAGCTATTGCATTTTGTCAGTGCGCAGAAAAAAAAAGTGAGCCCCAACCCTCACCCATACTGCAGTCAATATGGTGGGCGGCGGGCTGGTGACGCCCTGCACTGCATAATTTGATGTCTAAAGTGTGTTTTTATGTAAAACAAGTTGCTATATTTTCATCACTCTTGTTGTTGTTGCTGCTGTTGTTTGGATCTTAGCCATGCGTAGCGACGTCTGCGTCTGAATTGTTAATGGCCAACTTGGCCCGCTGTGCTCCGAGGGCGGATGGCGAGTGTGCCGCCAACCTGGCGCTTTCATTAAACACTTTGCGCCAAATTGAATTTTATGATGGCTGCCCAAAACTCATCCCCTCCCCTAACCCCTAAAAAAAATAAAGCAAAACATCCTGATTGCAGCTGTCACTTTGAATGTAGTATTTGATTTTTAATGCGCAAGCTGCATAATTGCGCTTGAAATATTTAAAAAGCAAAATTTGCAGCAGCTCATTAATAAAAAGTTTCACGCGTTTTCAATTAATTTGCATAGCTGCAGCGCAGCAAAATGAAAAGAAAAAAAAAGGGGTTGCATACTTTTGGGCGGTGCTTGAAAAATGATTTCGCTCAAGTGTCTGGATTACGTATACGCTGCGTGTGCCTGGCGCCTGCTAGTCAGCCAGCTATTAACGTCATATAGAATGCTACTTGCCACATGCCACATGCCGCATGCCACATGCCACATGCCGCATGCCGCTAGGGCGCATTACATGCAGCGATTTAATTATTTCTTGTATCGTCTCTCGCTTAATTGGCCATTAAGGCTAAAGGCAGCGCATGAGGCGGGGCAGCTAAACATTACTTGCCACACAGCGGTTGGTCAGCGCAAGTCAAATTGAGTTTACATGAAATATACATAAGGGGCAAATGCAAACCCAAGTCACACAGCGCCAACCATTACTCTGCCCGCACAACCACCCAGCCAATATATATTGACCTCTTTTTTATGCCCTATGAAGCCGAGTTGATATAGATACAGTTTTGAAGTTTGCGCCATCTTTTTGTTTCGAACGTTGCATAGCAATAATCTGTCGAAGATGAGGTTCTTGTATGTAAAGCTTGTTTGCTTTTCAAAATATCTTGACTAAACTTGACCTTAATGAGTTTAACCAAACTTTCTTTATATGCAAATAAATTTTATCAGGATCGGACTACTATATTATATAGTTGAGTTTTTGCTATTTTTCTAATCAATTTGAAAGACAACCAAACTGATATTTTAAATATTAAATATAATAATGAAGCAAAGGGCATTTCATCTTCGGCGTGCCACAGATATTTCTTCTTTCTTGTTTTTTTCTTGTTGCCATTTTTTTTTGTGCAGGGTCTTAGCTGCATGTGTTCACGCTTAATTGCAAACAAAGGGAGGCAGAATGGTTGGAAATGGGGGCCAGTTGCGGCACAGCGGCAACTGAGAAGTGTTTTTCCATTTCCGGCGCGCGGCGCAGCATGCAAATTGCCGAACCGGAAGTCGTTTTAAGCATTTTGTACTCATTTTGTTTTCGCACAAGGACAAGTGACAACATCCTGGCCACGGACAAAGTTGCGCCGCGTGCCACGGCAAATGTCTTGAGATGCGAGTATTAACTGTTGGAATTGCGGATGCCTCGACTGCTGCTGCTGCTGTTGTTGCTGCAAGTGACAAAGACACAAATCAGCTGACAACAGCGACAAGCCGCAAAACGGAAGTGGTGGGAAAAACTTGCGCGGCAAACGAAAATGTTTTAAGCCAAATTGACAATTGTTCTGTAATAGGAAACAGTCAAACGTTTTATAATATGCCATTTACGCGTCTGCAAATGAACTTTGTCTAGTTAGGGTATTTAGCTTTGAAGTAGAGCATTTGTTCAACAGCCACTGCTACTGGTTGTTGCCACACTTTGTAAGGTGTTGAATAAAGTTTCTGCTCCCTTTCAATGCGGGGCGAGACTTATTTTTTTGTTAATTTCTTTTATCTCACAAACAGTTCTTCAATGACTCTTAATTAAACTTGTTTAACTACGCAAAAGGTCAACAATTGTAACGCTCTGCAGGTTTGCATGCCATTCGCCTCTTGCTGCTTAACTCGGCTTTGTTTTCGGTTATTCATATACCCTTTGAAATGCCTGATGTGTATCAAATACACTAAACATATTCGTCACAGCAAGACGAGCCGATCTATGTCCGTACTAGAAACTATGTTAAGATGCTTAGAGTCAAATTGAGCTGCTATCGCCTATGTATCTTCCAGGCGATAGAAAAGCGATATGATAGGGCAATAAAAAAAGGCTGTGAATCAAATTGAGCAGCTATCGCCAATGTATCGCCTGGGCGATAAGAAAGCGATGTAGTAGTGCAATAATATAATGCTAAGAATCAACTTGTTCTGCTATCGCCAATGTGTCTTTTAAGCGATAAAATGGCGATATTGCTCATAATACTCAATACACAGTAAAAATGCACATTCCTACCTATCGCAATTGGCGGGATGATATCTCTTGGTGGAACACTCTCAACTGAAAGCATTTCTCACTTAGTTTTGGTGCCATTTTTAGTCCTTTTTTTTTGGTTTTCTGCGTAGATAGAGCGAGAGAATATTGAGTGAAAATAAAGTGAGATAGAATTGGCCATTGTTCAAATTGTTATCAAATGGTTGCTGCCAGTTTAATGCATTGGCAAACAGTTGCTCAACCCAAAAATGGTTCACAATGCGCCAATAAACTCGTTTAAAACTGTTGCATTTCGATTCGAGTTTTTGCACAATGCGCTTGATAAAACGATTCTCTATTTTTTTGTGTTTGGCTTAAAATATCCAGAATTGAGTTGAATGCTTGAGATAAATATGCTCAGTTATTTTAATTGCTTTATAAATTTTGGACATTTTGTAACGTTTAGTTTAGTTTAGTTGGTCCAACGAACAGTTGTGTTATATATAACCTTTTATTTTGTGAAAAACTGTTATTTGCAAATACTTTACTTTGTGGGTAAAACATTTGTTATTTGTGTTTATTTGTAAATGTTATAATTGCTAAATTGAGTAGCTTGAAGCAAGAACTGCAATAAAAAATTGTATATTGTCTTACGCTTAATTTGATTACTTGCAATGGACTTTACACAGAACTTTAATATTTGTGTAATTCTTCTTAACTGAATAAATAACCGTGCAGACGATGATTTCTGAACTTTGCCAGGCACTTTACAAGCGACTTTACAGTTTCAAGAATTTTCATAACATTACATGACAGAGTGACTTAACAGCTGTAAACTATTTTCAGAAAACAGTTCTAATCTATGTATTATTTATGTTATTAATATCAACCTTAAATTATATGTATATGTTTTAAGTCTTAAGAGTTAACATGACACAACATAACATGACACGTTATAGAATAATAAATACAACAGAGTAACTTAACAGCTGTAAACTATTACCTTAAATTATAATATAGAATTAAATGTGAGTGCATGATTTTGTTACGCACACGACCTGTTGTTCGATAAAAACCTGGACGGCACCTATTAAATGTGCGGCTTAGAGGCAAGTGGTGGCAGACCTGTCAATTGGCAATGAGGCAACAAAGTTGCAGCACTGACCAGCTATATTAATTGGCACTTTTCTATGTGTGTGAGTGCGTGTGTCTGTGTGTGTTCGTATGTGTTTTTGTTGGTGGACATTAATAAAGCGCAACATGCAGCCAGCTGGACTGAAGTTTGTCTGGACTTGGGCTCTGGCTGTGGCAAGTTGTGCCATTTGTTAGATTTTTAATAACATTAATAAAGTGCACAAA